CTCTCTCTCTCTCTCTCTCTCTCTCTCTCTCTCTCTCTCTCTCTCTCGTCTTTCCAGAAGCATCTAAGACATTTAAGACGCATCTGAGACTCCTCGTGCACGCCTCTTTTGGCTTCCTCAGCTCCACCACTCCTTTCAGGAGTCCTTCGCACTCCATTATTTTCTCTCCGGCCTGCCTGAGCCAGAGATGTGACTACATGTGAATTTTAAAGATTTTTTATTTAATTTTTATTTATTTATTATTTATTACAATTTATTCACTTTGGGTTTTTTATTTTTAAACATGAATCATACAGACAAAAAAATACAGTTCTACAGATTTTAACCCACATACAGAATTGAGTAGAGAGTCATATGACTATTACTCCAAAAACGTTCTCTCATTGAGACTGGGGGGTAGCCCAGCCAGCAGAGTGCCGGTCTAACTCAGACAAACCCTGGGTTCAATCCCCAGGACAGGAGGAGCCATACAAACATACACGTGCCTGTCGTCTCAGGGCTTAGAAGGTGGAGGCAGAAGCATCATTAGTTCAAGGTCGTCCGTGGGTGGAGTGTAGTTCCCGGCCACTCTGAGACAGAGAAGACCCTGACTAATCCTGTTACCCTATCCGTTTGTAGTCGCATATTTCTCCGTCATTTCTAACTCATTATCGTCAAAGAAATGGGATGTAATCTTTACAAATCAAAACGACTACTAGCAAAGTCCGTTAAGGTGTCTGCAATGCCCCTACGTCTTCTTAACATCATCTTCACAGCCGCCCCCCCTCACCGCACCCCACAACCCACCCCCACCCCCACCCCCGCTGCGGCCAATCACGCAATTAGTCTGAACCACCTGTAGCTCTTGGGGCGCTCTCAGCCTTCCTGCAGTTGACCCTTCATTCGTGTTGCTTTTCTGGAGGGGGCGGACGGCGGGCGGGCGTGAGGGGCTAGTAGGGGGAGGGGTCCTGCGGCAGTTCCCATCACTGTTGGCTCTGCACAATCTCCAGGTCGTCTCTCCCTTCAGACACTTACTTCTGTGCAACAGCTGTGTTTTCAACGGGGGAGTGCATAGCCTGCCACTTGTTGAGCTTCTCCAGCCCCGGCGCGAGTGCCTGGAGCGGCAGATCTAGAGCCAGCTAGTCCGCGCTGTCCCAGCACGCAGGCGCAGCCGGCACGCGGCCGCCCCGCCCCCACCCGTTCATTGGGGCAACCGTTGCGGGCCGCCTGGGCCCTGATGTGGGACAGGAGGCCGCTGACATCCCCTTTTTCGGCCCTGAGGTACCCCGACCTGTGGCCCCAGGACGTTCCGTCGGATGGCGGAGTGCTGTGAGCACCGCTCATGAAGCCTGTGGTCCTAGTTGCGCTGTGGCTATGGCCTTCCTTCCTGCTGGCTTATCCAAGTGAGTGATGGGCCCTGTGGAGACTTAGGTGTTTCCTTTCCTTACACCTTCCGGTCCCACGGTCCCAGATGCCCGCTTGGGTACCAGGTGTGTCACTCCAGTCCTCATCCTGCTCCTCCCACTGTCTCCAGGATGCCCAGCGTATAAGCTGGACTGACTGTGCCCCTCCTTACTGGACTCCCTTAAGCGGGCACTGTGCACACACTGTCCAGAAAACAAAGCACATTGCAGCCTGGGCTGCTCAAACACTTCATGTTTTGTTGGAGTGCAACCGCAGTCATTATTCTATGTATTGGCCATGGCTGCTTCCTGGTTTAGGACGGCAGCAAGGGCTTGCTGCACAATTCTAGCTTGCAAGGCCATAGATGTTTACTGTCTGGCCCTTGACAGTAAAACACTGGCTGGTCCCTGCAGTAAACTTGAAGTGTTGAGGGGAGAGCTTCTGGAAGGAAAGAATTCAGTCAAAAGACACCGACAGTTTAAATAGAAGTTTTTCAAGCCAAGCAAAGCACGAGAGAGAGAGAGAGAGAGAGAGAGAGAGAGAGAGAGGCGTGGAGAGAGTGGCGTGGGCTGCCGCCAGAAGGGGACAGCAGCACAGTGGGCTCTGCATTGTACATTTAGAAACTATTTTCATGAATACTTATGAAATAGGTGGCATATTGAGAGACTTCCTGTCCAATCATGGTAAATGCAGTCTGTCTCTTGGTGTCTTTCTTCCCATGTTGTTCTTGAAAAGCCCCCAAAGAGGAGGCAGGTGCTGTCCTGTGGACGTATGTGGGACAGCCCTGGCTGCCTAGTCCTTGCTACAATGGGAACAGCCTAGCTGCAGCTGGAGGCGGTTGAAGCACAAAGGAGGCGTTCTGTTAGGGACAGCTGCCAAGATGCGGCTGTCATTGTCTTGGCTACCTCATACCGGTATGTTTGCGCGCATGCGTGTGGAGGCCGGGTATAGTCGTAGGTCTTGCTCCTCAGGTGATTGTTTTTCTGTTTGTAGGTCTGTTTCCAGGTCTCCTACTGACCTGGAACTTGCCAAATAGTTGGGCTGCTGTCCAGCAAGCCCCAGCGATGTGCCCAGCTTCATTTTCCCAGTGTTAGAATTCCCGGCATGCACCACCATGTTCCACGTGGGCTCTGGGAATAGTGCCTGGGTCTTCACAGGCACGTTACCTCCTGAATCATCTTCCCAGCCCACTCTAACTCCCTTGTGAGACTGGGAAGGTCCAACTCAGACTGTTTGTTAGCACAGCAGCACAGCAAATAAAATAAAACTGGCTCAATGAGTGAGCATAATCCTGATGACCTGAGTTCAATCCCCAGACCCCACAGTGGAAGAAAGAACCACTACAACTCTGGAAAGTTTTTCTTTAACCTCTTCATGGGCATTAGAGCATGGGCCTGCACTCAAATACACACACACACACACGCACACACACACTCAAATATACAGAAGATTTGAGGCTTTTCTATCCCTGTTCTTAGGAAGGCTTTTGTCTTTGGGAACTACAATTGGTAAGGGAGGATTTAAGCAGCAGCTGTCAGTTGCTCACTTGTACCAACAAATACATGAAAAGAAGATTTGTTTTAAGGACCTGCTAAAGCTTCCAGTACTTGGTTACAAAATTGTAAGTTCACCTCAGGCTGTTTCAGAGCCCAAGGCTGTGTCACTTGGGAGGATCTCTTAGACATGCAGGTAGAGTATGTAGGGAGCCATGACATGTAAGTGGGGAATGTCCTGTGAGTGGTCTTAGTGGGATAGCAGGGACTGCTGGTGACCTGTCTCTCTCTGTTAATCACTATGCTTGAAATGCCCTATCTCTTCTTTTTGTTGTTACATTTGTATTCATGTGATTGGCCTGCATGTACCACAGTGTGTGTGTGTGTGTGTGTCCTTGCCCCATGTGGATTTCAGAGACCAACTCCGGTCAGGCTTGCAGGGCAAGAACTTTTACCTGCAGAACCATCTCCCTAGCTTGAAATGAATTTGGTGAGACTGCCCCTCCTTGGCAGTTCATCATTTTTCATGGTTTACTAGGCAATCTGAGATGTCTTCCTTCATTTGCACACCCCACGCCTTGCAAGAACTCAACTGAGACGTGAAGATCCAAGATGGCCTCTTTTCTTCCAGGTTGTTGCTATTGGTGAATCCTCATTTTTAATCTCTCTCTCTCTCTCTCTCTCTCTCTCTCTCTCTTTCTCTCTGTCTCTCTCTCTCTTTCTCTCTTTCTCTCTGTCTCTCTCTCACTCTCTGTCTCTCTCTCTGCCTCTCTCTGTCTCTCTCTCTGTCTCTCCCTCCCTCTCTCTCTCTCTTCCCCTCTCTCTCTTTCCCTTTCCCTCCCTCCTTCCCCCTCAGAAGCATGCACAGTTATAATTTCTGCCCAGCCCCTTCTTTCCACCCATTTTATCTTTTGAGACGGGGTCTCAAGAAGCCCTGGCTGACCTTGAACTAACTACATAGCCGGCAATGACCATGAAATTCGGATGCTATTGACTCTGCTTCCGCAGCACTCGTTACCACAGATGTGTGCCACTACGCCCAGTCATCACAGTGCTGGCGACCCAGGTCAAGCCTTCATGCATATGAAGCAAGGACTCTACCACCCAAGCCTTGTGCTCAGCCTCCAAGTTTCTTTAAATCATGGCAACTAGCTTCCAAGAATTGCTTTGCAAGCTCTTGGAGAGACTACAGTGTGTCAGAATTGTTGGTGTCCTATGGACAAGATAAGTCTACTAGAGCAAGCCACCTTCTGTGTGGAAAGACTTGAGTCTAAGGGCATTTTTAAACAATCACAAAGACGTTAAGTTAGATTTTATTTTTTTAGTTAGAATTGCCGATTTCTATGAATATAAGTATTGCTTTATCCATCAGCAAAAGCTACATTTTAAAAAAATAATAGTAATAAGTTAGAGAAAAGCCATTGCATGAGCAACACAATGGGGCTTTCTGCAGCCACTCTGAATGTATTTCAGTTATGAATCACAGCAACCTGGGTAGTTGGAAATATGTCAGCTCAATATTTAAGTTTGTTTGAATTTAAGGCACAGATTCACACAGCACTTAGGCTGTTCTCTGTGAGTCTACTGCAAGGACGGTGTGGGAAAACATGCAACTTGTGATCTGAAGTTATAGATTTGGGGCCAGTTTGCCTGTTAGTGAGTGATGGCTGCTTGGGTGTTAGTCCTAAGTACATGCGCTCATTATAGAAAAAGGCCACTCTGTGTTTTGTCTGCTTATGGTTGTAAGAAACTTTTAATAATTAACATATAAAACTTTTGGTTAGATAACGTGTACTTCAGATGTTTTTAGAAATCCCATCTACTGAGGACCTCCCTTTCCTGTCCTTTGGCAGCCTAACTTATTTACATGGGCATCCCATTTGCTAGTCTGAAGAGACAAACTAATTTACTGAAGATCAAGTAGGTCCTAGACTAATGTCAAGGCAGTGCCCTCTGCAAAGCCATTATGCCTCTGCTGATGGCACATTCTAGATTGGCCAGGGTTAGCCCGATGGTTTGCTTTTAGTTGCCTAGAACAGAAAATTTCCCCAAAATTTTATAAACAACTTTCTATTTTATAGAAAAAATGAAATATACAAATAGAAATAGTGGTATAAAAACTGCATCTACAACAAATAGACCCTTTGGTTAGTCTTGCAGCATTGACATCTCCACTCACATACCTTCTCCCCTAGCCTCCCTGTCTTCCCTCCTCCCCCATTCTTGTGCTTAGTTTATTTAGAAGCAAATTATTATCAGGGAGATGGCTCATTCACTATGTTCAACATACATATAAAGAATAAAAACAAAGCTAAGAAAACTCCTGGGTTTTTTTTTTTTTTCAGTAAAATAAAGGTAACAGAACGGAAACACTATTTGAATATCAAATGTATCAAATGAACAGAAGAAAAAGAATCAGAAAAAAATGAGCAGCAATTAAATATTTGAACCATTAGCTTTTGTGTGTGGCTGTGGCTGTGGCTGTGGCTGTGGCTGTGGCTGTGGCTGTGGCTGTGGCTGTGGAGGCCAGAGGACAAGCTCTGCTGTCCTTCCCCGAGCACCATTTGGCATGTACTGGTACAACAGGACGGCCAGGAATCTGCCTATCTCCACCTGTGTCCATCTCCCCAACATTAGAATGACAAGCTTTCTAACTATGCCAGTCGTGTGTGTGTGTGTGTGTGCGTGTGTGTGTGTGTGTGTGTTTGTGTGTGCATTCTCGAGTGCACGCTCTTGTGCATATGCGTGCTAAGGATCAAACTCTGGTCCTTGGTAAAGGCTTCTGAGAAAGTGCTCTAGCCTCCTAGCCCCAATTTCTTATTAAATTTATTTTATGTGAGAGAAAAGAACACACATGGTATCTTTTGCTAAAATGTATATATTGACAAAAATACTAAAGTCGTGTTGCTGGAAAGTGAGAGAGCTGAGACCAGCATGAGGGTGTCGGGAAACTACATTGGACTGCCTTTGTTTTACTCAGTCTTCCCTACCTGAAAACTCCAGACTCTGAGTGGCTACAAAAATACATTGTTTTTGTCAACAACAAAAAAAAATCAATAAAAAAAGAAAAAGAAATTACTTAATTAATTAAAGCAGGGCTGGCAAGGTGGCTCGGGTGGTAAAGTGGTTGCCATGTTAGCATGAGGACCTGAGGTTAACTCCTAGACCTGTGTAAAACAAAAGGCCAGGGCAATGATGCACACCTGCAGTCTCCGAGCTTGGGGGGAATAGGAGGGTCCCTGAGGCTTCACACACTGAGTTCCAGGATCAGAGAGACCCTGTCTCAAAACATACAGTGAAGAACAACTGATGAAGACACCTGGTGTCAACATCTGGCCCACACACACACAGACACACACACACAGAGAGAGAGAGAGAGAGAGAGCTTCTTAATGGCTCACTGTATTTAATAATTGGTATTCATCAAAACCACTGTATCACATGTTCATCTTACAGATACATTAGCTGTAAATAATCAAAAGAGCACAACCAATAGCAAAACAGGGTAAGTAGGAAGTGAGGTGTTTTGAATATTTACTATCTTTGTTTTAGTACAATTGCAAATTCAGGTAATTTTAGTTGTGTCTATCTAAACCTCTGGTTCCGAAAAATTTAATAATTGGCTCTTAGGAGCCAATATGTGCCCACAGTAGCTCCTTGCAGGGTTAGAAAACATGATCAAGAATTTTGGTTTAGAGCCAGGCACGGTGGCACAAGCCTGTAATTCCAGCACTTTGGGAGGCAGAAGGAGGCATATCTCTGCGAGTTCGAGGCCAGCCTGTTCTATAAAGTGAGTCCAGGACAGCCAAGGCTACACAGAGAAAACCCTGTCTCAAAAAAAAAAAAAAAAAAAAAAAAACCACAAACAAGCAAGCAAACAAAAAAGAATTTTGGTTTAATAAATCACCTATTGAATCATAGATTATAGGAAAACAAACATAAAATGATGTAGAAGAGGACACACGTACAACTCTGACCCTTCTCTCGCCCGTTTGTGCGTTTTCAGAGAGTGCGGCCTTGTGTTAGGGAGGAAGCTTCTTGCTGCATTTCTGTACTGTACTTAAAGCGCTAGCACAGAAACTGAACTGAGGTTAGCAGAGCCTGCCGTTGTGTCCTATAACTGTCACTTACTGTGTGTTTGATGTTTTTCCTCAAGCTATAACTGTGTTGCCCGATGAAGAGCAGAATTTGAATCATTACGTACAAGTTTTACAGAACCTCATAATGAGTGTTCCTACCAGGGAGCAGCAGGGCTCTGAGAAACCGTCGAACTCCTTAGGAACTATGGAGGCTCTGGAACTGAGGACGTTCGCCTCTGAGCTGATACAAACCACTGAAGAAGTCACCTCTGGAGAAGTCACCACTGAAGAAGTCAGCCATGGAGAAGTCACCACTGGAACCGTCACCCCCGAAACCGATATTCTGATGAGGCCCTTCAATGACGAAGTAACAACGTTCCCTTCCAGCAGCTTCACGCTGGGGATGAAAAGGAAAAGGAAAACCGAAAGTACACCTTTCTGGTCCATCCGGCCCAATAACGTTTCTATTGTTTTACACACGGAGGAACCTTTTATTGAAAAAGAGGAGCCGGAGCCGGAGCCGGAGCCCGAGCCCGAGCCCGAGCCCGAGCCCGAGCCCGAGCCCGAGCCGGTGCCAGACCTGGAGCCGGAGCCGGAGCCGGAGCCGCGGACAGAACCGCCGTCTAGAGCAACCCTGCCTGAGCCAGAGACGTGGCCTGACCTAGAGCCGGAGTTTGGGCCAGAGGAAGACCTGGGGATAAACACAAGGCAGACCACGTCAACAGAGACGCCGAGGCCGTCGTCCACGGCCTCCCAGCCGTGGCTGAGTACCCGTGTGACCGTAACGGCAAGGACCACCAGCAGCAACATGGACGTTTCCACAGAATCCGAGGACGTGCCCCAGCTCTCCGGCCACTCGGAACCCCAGAACGTGGAAGACTTCCCTGGGCATCGCCCCCTCAGTATGAGACAGGAGGACATTTTGAGAAAAATCTCCACTATTAATGCCCAGATCAAGAACCAAGGGCCTCTTAATGACGCCAACAACCACCAGTACAAGGAGTACATCAAGGCCTCCAGGGAGCACCTGAAACGGAGCATGGCCCTGGCTGCAGCTGCGGAGCACAAGTTGCAGGAAATGTACAGATCTCACGTCTTCTCAGAGGGACGGGGCGGTGACTCGGGCGACGACATGGAAACGGTTATCGACATGCTGTACAATTCCAGATCCAAGCTGCCGGAGTACTTAAGCGTTCACAGTGTACCATCAGAGCTGAAAGAAAAGGTCACTATCGTGACTAATGTGTTGAGAAAACTTTTATGTGTAGATCACGTAGAAACGCAACGCCTCATTAGGAAGCTGTTAAGCAATAATATGAAAATTCTAAATATTCTTGATGTCTCATGAGCAAACTCATTTAAGCAAAAGTCTTGTTCACAGGAAAATAAACATATTAGTGATTTCAAAAGTTGCCTAAAAATATTTCTATTATATTTCCATGTGCTAACATCCATATGTGTCATGTCATAAAATATTTTCATATGCACTAAAAACCTAACAACTTTAAAATAAAATTTTGATTCATAAGCTTGTAGTTTTTTTCTCATTACTTTAACAAGTTGTGAAGAACTAGCCTCTACCATTAAGATTTGAGTCTACCAACTAGCAGTGCTCAGACCCGCCCACTGTACGAGCTTAGAGACTGCTCGCTCTCTGTAATGCAGCCAGTTTTAAATAACTGCAGAGCGCCCGGGTTTTCTGTATAATAAATAGCACACTCAGGGCTAGCGCCGGAAGCACCTCTGTGTGGGTGTATGCTGCTTCCTGCTTCCTTGGAGAGGGGTGATACAAGGAAACATCCTGTTTCGCTTCGGTCATTCGTGAGGGACCCTAACCTGGATCTTTAATGAGGTCATCCTCACAATTCCCTCCCTTTACTTTCATTCAAACACATTAAAAATGTATAAAACCTTTATAGCAAGTCTGACTAACACCAGTTAAACTGGCTGTATAATGTCATACTGAAAGTGTAGTTTTGTTTCATAGCTTAACCAGAATTGTATTTAAGTTCATTACATAGACATTGACCAGTCACTTACAGACCAATAAAGATTTATGGACTCTGCACCAGAACAAAATGGTAGGCTTTGGGGACAGAGTGAAGAGTTATTTCCCTCTCTAAGATTATACTGTAAGAAGGAAGCTAGACATTGAACAAAAACTGTCATCTCTTTTAAATTTCCAGTTGAGTCAAGCTGTTACGGGAGGTGGCTGTCCAACCTCATCTAGAATGTTGAGAAAAGTAGCCTCAGCAAATGGTGTTTGAGGGGAGACCTGACAGATGAGGTACGCTTGGTGGACGAGAATGTTCCAGGTGGAGGAAGAGCATATGTGAACGCTGACCTGAGGCCAAGGATGAGAAAGTCAAGAAGTGCCTGGAGCATAGAAAGACCAGAGAGAACATTCCAAGACAGAGCAGGCACATAAGCTCAGAAAAAAGCTTGTAGACCTCATGATATATGTTTATCCTGAGATCGGCAAGAAGCAGTCTGCAGATTTTTAAGCAAAGGACTGGTGTGATCAAGTTTGTATCATATGTACAAACATGTGTGTGTGTGTTTAAAAACAACACTGTAGCTACACAGTTTTAGAGGCAGGCTGAAGTAGACAGGAGCTGTTCACATGCCAGGTTTAGCTTGGATTAGATGTTCACTGTGTTTATTTAAAATAAATAACCTACTATGGAAAATCTTAAGCATTGCAAAGATGAGCAATAATGTGGCAACAGTATGCAGCTACCATCCAGTTTGAACAGTCGTGTTCTGATGGACACAGTGCCTGTCCAGCCCTCTCCCGACCCCCAACTTCCTGTATGCTCAGCTGGATATTTCTTCTCCAGCTCCAACCGTCTGGGGCTCTCTAAGCTTCTGACGAACACTTTCCAAATGTTTATAACAGCATCATCACGTGGAGTTAATGGTATCTAATCAATGTTTAAATTTTAAAAAGTGATTAGACAATGGGAAATTTGGAGTTTCTTTGTACAAATTAAGATCAAATAAAGTTCACACATTGTTATTGCCTGACTGGACTCGAGTTATCTTTTAATTAAAGGACCCTTTCCACTCCCCACCACCCCCTTGCTTGAAACTTATTTATTAGAAAAATGGACGTCAGTAGTATCGTTTCCCACAGCATCGATCTGGCATTGCAAATGGATTGTTGCTTTTCCTGTTCTCTGTATTTCCTTAAGTGTGTGTGTGTGTGTGTGTGTGTGTGTGTGTGTGTGTGCGCGCGCGCGCCCTTACTGCGCCTCCAGTAGCAGGAAGGTGTCAGCACTCCTGGAGCTGGAGTTAGTCACAGCTGTGAGCCACCTGATATGGGCTCTGGGAATCAGACTTGTGTCCTCTGGGGGAGGAGCAGGCGTTCTGAACTGCTGAGCCACCTGTCTACTCACTCTGTATTTTTGTAAATTGGTGATTCAGTCTGGAAGCATTTCACGAGCATGAAGCTTGTGGTTTTGCTTTCTTCTATCTCCAGTTTCCTCCCTCCCTCCCTCCCTTTTTTCTTTCCGTGGTTTGCGTGTGTATCTGTGTGTACATGTATGCACACGTGTGTGCGCATGTGTATGGAAGCCAAAAGTTGATATCAGGTATTTTTCTCAGTCATGTAGATGAATATTTTTCCTTTGTAAAAGGTTTATTTTTACTTTAAGTGTATGTGTGAGTGCTTGCACAAAGACATGTGCACCACAAGCACGCCAACACAGGCAGAGGCAGAAGAGGACATCGGATTTCCTAGGACTGTTCTCAGAGCTGCTTGTGAACACCTCGGTGTGGATACTGGGGTCCAAACCCAGGTCCTTTGCACTAGCAGCAAAGTTAAGATGCTCTTAAGTTCAAGCCCCTCTCCGGATCCTCCCGACAGTCCTCGAGACAGAGTCTGTCACGGACCCTGGCTACCTGATCTGGCTAACTTGCCTGGCCTTTAAATCCCAAGGACTTTTGTCTCTACCTCCGCAGCTCTCACTTTATAGGTGCACCTACTGCATGGGTGCTAGGAGCCAAGCTCAGACCTGTGCCCTCTGTGGCGGGCACTTTGGCCATCAATCCAGCTTCTTCCTTTCTTGTTAAGACAGTCCTTTCTTATTCCATTTGGCTAAGCCTTTCTTTTTTTTCAGACTTTGATGACCATTACTTAGATACTTGCTAGGTAAATTCATCAGTCTGGTAACGTCAAAGGCTGATATTATTTCTTAAATTGAAATATCTCTATGAAGAGAAATATTATATAATCTATTATGTGATTTCCCCAATGGTCCGGGTATCAAATGCTTAAATATTTCTTTTTTTTTTTTTTAATCAAAGATGAGAGACTGGAGAAATGACTCAGAGGTTAAAAGCAAGGGCTGCTTTCCTAGAGGACCCAGGTTTGGTCACCAGCACCCACATGCTGGCTTACAATCATCTGTAACCCCAGTTCCAGGAGATCTGATGCCCGCTTCTGACCTCCAAACACCAGGCACATGTGCACATACATACATGCAGGCAAAACACTCATACACTTAAATCTAAAAAAAAATAAAGATGACGTCAGAGACTTGTTATAATTATTATAATGCTATAATTATTTTAATTTTTGTTGTTGCTGTTGTTTTGAGATAGAATCGCAAGTAGCCAGGGCTGGCCTCTTATTCCAAATGGCTACACTATATAGCCAAGGATGACTTTGAACTCCCGATCCTCCTCCTGGCTCTGCTTCCCATGTGCTAGGTTATAGGCAGGTGCCCCTTCCTCAGTCTCCTCATTCTCTACAACTTGCTTTAGAGTGGTGCATTTGTCACAGTTGATGAGCATAATTATACTGGCAATGGGCATCACCCAAAGTCCACTGTGATGTTTCACAGCCTTCCTGTTGGGACAAGTGGGAGGAAGCACTGTCATAGAAGTCTTAGGAGCAGAGGGAACCCTCCAGTATGCTTTGTTCTCTTCACCTTTCAGTTTCCTCGTGCGTTTATACAGTGTTCTGAACTTTTGTTTCTGCTTAAGAGTTTGTCATTTGGGACCTGGGAAGATGGCTCAACAAGTAAAAGAGTTTGCTATGCAAGCATGAATACCAGAATCAGACCTCCAGTACCTGTATAACAGCCTGGGGGAGGGGGTGAAGGCTCTCCTATAATCCCAGCCCCCAGAGGCAGATACAGGAGCTCTCTGCTGGACCATCTGCAACTCCTGGGCTCAGTGAAAGACTTTACCTCAGTATACAAGGTAAAAAGTAAAACAGCCAGTATCAACCTTAGATGCACATCTGCATAGACACACACACACACACACACACACACATTAAATTTTGATGACTGATATATAATGTAAGGAATGATAGAGGTCAGAGAAGAGTACTTGCCCAGCAAGTACTCAAGGCTCCTGGATAAAAGGATAATGTAATATAATATAGAATAATTATACTAAAATCTGTATACCTAAAGAAGGAGGACCCTGGGTAAGATGATCAATCCTCACTCAGAAAGGCAAATGGGATGGACATCAGAAGAGGAAGAAAACAGGGAACAGGACAGGAGCCTACCACAGAGGGCCTCTGAAAGACTCTACCCTGCAAGATATCAAAGCAGAGGCTGAGACTCATAGCCAAACTTTGGGCAGAGAGCAGGGAATCTTATGAAAAAAGGGGGAGATAGATCTGGAGAGGACAGGAGCTCCACAGGAGAGCAAAAAAACAAAAACAAAAAAAATCTGGGCCCAGGGGTCTTTTCTGAGACTGATACTCCAACCAAGGAGCATGCATGGAGATAACCTAGAACCCTGCACAGATGTAGCCCATGGCAGCTACAAGTGGGTGTCTACTTGTAATGGACAAGTGTCCAAGTGGGTGTCCTAGTAATGAGAACAGGGACTGTCCCTGACACAAACTCAGTGGCTAGCTCTTTGATCACCTCCCCCTGAAGGGGGAACAGCCTTACCAGGCCACAGAGGAAGACAAAGCAGCCAGTTCTGATAAGGGAAGGAGAGGAAGACCTCCCCTATCAGTGGACTGAGGGAAGGGCTCAGGAGGAGAAGAGGGAAGGAAGGTAAGCTTAGAAGGGGACGAGGGAGGGGGCTAGAGCTGGGATACAAAGTGAATAAACTATAATTAATAAAAATTTTTTTAAAAAGGAAGATACCAAGTAAGACTTCCATTTTTTTTTATTTGAGCCATTGGGTGAAAATCAGAAAACCTTGTTTTTGTCTTTTGGTTTTTAATTGAATTTTATCACAACTAAAGTTTTATATTTAGATTTTCTTTGAAACAGTTTTATGTATGCCAAGATGGCTTTGAGCTTGTTATGTAACCCAAGGATGACCTTGAACTTCTGATCTTCCTGCCTCTACCTCCCAAGTTCTGGGATTCCA